CCATGGTGCTGTGAGCCCATGGTGCTGTGAGCCCATGGTGCTGTGAGCCCATGGTGCTGTGAGCCCTATGAGCCTGCACTGGCTTGGACCAGGGTGATGCTGAGCTAATGACAGTATGTTTGTCTTCCCTCTCTGGCACCAAGGCTGTGGCCTCTCTGGCACAGACCTGCCCAGGTGGCACTCACAAGCTGTGGCTTGGACACATCTCTAAGCTGCATTGTACTTGTCTATGAAATGGGTTTCTATGAGAAGTAACCCTTGGGAGGCTCACAGGGGCTAGCGTGGGTAAACTCTGCAAATGATTCTATGGTGGTGGTGGTGGGGGCGGGGCTTGACAACTTGTCCCCATGTGACTACAGCAGCTCTTGTTGAAGCTATAGACACACAACCCCCACCCCCCACCAAGGCAACTGGGATCAAGTCACCAACCAGATTCCCAACTCGACCCTCTCTGCCCTCCCTCTCCAGCTCTCTCTCAACTCTCTCTCAATTCCAGCCTCTGGGGCAGATCCGACAAACGTCCACTGAGCAGGCCTTTGATCCTTCTTTACCTGACTAACTCCTATGCAGCCTTTAGGCCCTGGCCGAGGTGCCTTTTTCTTCAGGGAGCCCGAGACCATTCTCTGTGCTCCCGAGGAGCTCCTGTCCTGCACACTCCATTGCAGTAGCTGGTGCCCCTGCAGTGGGCCGGACACTGCATCCTGCTCTCTGCTGCAGACCCAGCACAGTACAGTGTCTGGCAAGGACTGGATTTTCAAAAAATATTTAGTGACTGAATGGATGGATGAGTCAATTTCTGCATCCCACACTGCAGGAAATGTCTGAGAACAGATTTGAGTGGGAGGTTCCTGCAAGGCCTGGGAGAAGCCCCTGGGCTTTGGGGCGCTAGGTGGTGAACAGCAGACACCCCTATCCCCTCCCACGAGTAGGCCAGCCTCCCCACCCATCGGCACAGGCCCCCGGGGCCCCAGAGCCGGCTTCCAGATGTTAAGTCCTGTGTCTGCCTTACCTCCTGGCTTTTCCATCTGCACGGCCGGACCAGATCCCCGCAGCCAGCATCGCGGGCAGCCAGGCCAGCCGTCCCCAGCGTCTTCCTATTTTAGACATCTCGCCGCCTCGGTCCCTTCTAATGTTTCCAGGCAGGCTGCGGGGGGAGGGAAAAGAGGTTACTGCTACTTTAAATGTGCTGTATGAAGGCGAGGGCTGGAAAGGGGCCTGCTTGCAGGGATACCCAGTCATCTAGTTGGAGAAGCCGCCAGATGGAATACAAAAGGAGAAGCTCAGACGCTCATGGAGACGGCCTCGGTTCATAAATCAGGTGGGGCCGCGGCCCAGGGGCCCACACACCATGGAGCCCGACTCCCTCCTGGACCCAGGCGACTCCTACGGTAGGTGAGCCGAGCCAGCTAAGCAGCTAAGTGGCAGAGTTTGGGATTTTAGTCCACTGCTGCAGCAGACTTCGCTTCGCTTTGAGAATTAGAGTTGAAGGGGTGGGGGGGTGTCGGGGTGTCGGGGGGGGGGAGGCAGGCGTCTGGGTGCCGTCTGGCCTCTGGAATCGGGGCAGGCACGGGTGCCCTGGGTCATGGGTCACGGGGGTGAAGGGTCCCCTTAGAGGAGGCATTGGCGTGGTCCGGTAACAGGATAGAGTTTCTTGACTGCTTGAACTTTGCTCTTGGCCAAGAAGGAAAGTAAGTTTACAGCCCCTGCTCCTCGGTCTCACTCGTGGTCCCCCAGGTCTGCCTGCTGCTGTGGCAGATTCAATTAGTGAGGTCTGTAGAGAAACAGAAATGAGCAGGCAACTGAATGTACCTTGTAATTAAAGGCCGGGGCTGAGCTGAAAACTCCCAGCTCTGCTCCCTGGTACATAAGGCCCCAGGCTGCTCTGGCAAGGGAGCTGCCTTGCTCCGCTCCCCAGGGCCCCTGGGAGCCCTGAGCAGAGCTGAAGAAAAGTTGCTCGGGTCACAGCCCAGGCAGAGCTGGGCTGGGATCAGGCAACCAAGAACGAACCTCCAGGGAGGTTTCAGCAGGCTCGGGACCCCCGGGACTCAGGTAGCCAAGCTTACTACCTGGCTGGTGGTCCAGGCTGCTGCTCATTTGGCCCGGATGCTGGCACACAGTGGCAGTCTCCCAGCAACAGCGGGAAGCAGGAGGGCAGGAGTGTACTGAGGGAAAGGGGCTGGGGGGCAGGTTGGGGGGTTTGCTGGGGGGACAGCCGTTAGCCTCAGATGGGGAGGCCTTCTATGGCTAATTGCTTATGTGGATCTTTTTGGGGGCTGTGGTCCTTTGGGGATCACACACTCCACTAAAGAAAGACAGCTCTTCTCCCTCCAGACTCCCTTGCTCCAGCCAGGCCTGGCTGCCTGGCCCAGAGTCAAGGCCAAATTCCCTTCCTCCTGCAGCAGGCCAGCTCTGTCCAGGGAAGGAAGGATTTTGCCATGCTTCACGCTGCAGCCCTCAGGGGAGCTGGGCCAGGCCCTACACAGACCTGGCATCTTTAGACAGTCAGGCGGCAGAACACTGCATCCTGAGTGACCTGTGGGTCACTTCAAGTAACAATCAGTTCCCAGAGTGGGGGAGGGAAGGGGAACACAGCTTCTGTTTTGGAAGAGGTTTTCGTCTGGAATGGGAAGCCGTCCATGATCCCAAGACCTGCTTTAGGGGGATGTATTCCTGATGGGGAGCCTGGGGACACAGTCTGGGCTGTGAGATAGTCTTGCTGCTTCCAGAACTGTCTGTCTCAAATGGGGCATGAGTTATAAAGACTCCTTCGCATTGCCCAAGGGAGGCACAAACCCAGCCCAACCTGGGGAATTATGGGATGGGGAGTGGTGGCTGGAACCAATGTGGCCAAGCAAAGCTCTGGTGGCTTGGGAGCTCCTCTCCATCCAGGGACATCTCAGGAACCCACAACTTCCCTCTCAGTCCCCTGGGTTTGCCAACAGCAGCCTCTGGGCAGGATGAGGCTGGAAACTGAGGCAGCTTCCATGTTGTGCAACCTGTCCCTTGTTTTAGCCTGTTGATCTTCTGGATTCTGCTAGGGCAGGGTGCATGTGTCTGGGATCTGGGAACGAGACACAGGGACAGAGGAGGCTCCAGGAAGGCCAGAAGGGCAGAGGAGAAACCCTTGGACATGCACTCTGTCTGGGATGGTCCCAGGAGAGCTAAGCAGGGTCTGGCCTCCCACCAAGCCAGCCTCAGAGGTCTACAGCTGAGACCCATCCTGGGCCAGGGCAAGAAACAAAGCCTCCTCTCCAGCCCTCGCTCTGCAGTCGCCCATTTGTTTGCTCAACCACTACTCTTGGGGCTCTTGGGGCCAAGAAGCCAAATTTTGTCTCTGCCTGTATGAAGTTCCCAGGTTAGTGAGGAAGTGAGTGAGGAAGGAGCCCAGAGATTGTGTCTAGGAGGGCTTTCCGGAAGAGGTGACTTCACAACATTGCTAGCTTCTGTCAGGGTAAGCCCATTTCCGGGTGACCTGGTTTCTGCTGAGGTCTCTGCTCCCGGCTTGTGGCTGGGTCCCTTCTGTGGAGTCTTCATGTGGTCTTGCCTCAGTCTGTGCACGTGGAGAGAAAAGACAAGTGCTTTGGCTTTGCTGGATTAGGGAGCCACCTCGTCTAGCCTTGGTTTCTTCCTGTGAGGCCCCATCACCATGTACAGCCACACTGGAGATGAAGACTTTGCCATGGAAGAGTGGGCAGGTCACTCAGACCCTCCATGACTCCCTTCTTGAAACATTCCCTCCTGGCTTCTGGGGCGGCCACATGTGTGGCTTCCTCCCATTCCTTGGCCCTTCTCTCCCTATTGTCCACATGGCTTCCTTCCAGGTCTGAACCACCTGACCACACTCCTTTCTCTCTGCACCAGCCACGCCGTCCTGACCCACCCCAGGGCCTTTGCACCTGCAGTTTCCTGTCTGGGGACATTCTTCCCCTTTTTCTTCACCGATCTAACTCCTGTTTCTTGTCCTGGTTGCTGAAAAGTTATCTTTTCTGAGAAGTCTTCTTTCTCTAGAACATGTTCCCTGAGTCCAGTGAATTGGACCTCACTGTCTTAGTGTCTTTCGTCCAGTCTGTTCTGGTCTGTGGATTTCACTCTATGGGATTAACGGCACAGCTCCCTTTAATCTCTAAGCTCTCCGAATCCCCAAGCACATCTCTCCGCTTGGCATTAGGGCGTACCCAAATATACTGTTGAGTGAGCAAGTTGCTGAATGAATGCAGTTCATCCAGGCAAAGAGGCCAAGAAAGGCATTCCGGGCAGACAGAACAGGAGTGGAGAGGCCTGGGGCCCAGAGACGCTCTGGAAGTTTCTCTACTTGCAACCTGTACTCCTTGAAGGGTCCTGGGAACCTGATGGGAACAAAGCTGGATGGCTCCAAGCTGGGTGGAATTCTGGGCATTCCTCCTTCTTCAAGCTGTGCAAGACACCCTGCCCCCAGCGGTGGACATACTGAGCTTGGCTTCCATTCACAGGTGCTCAGGGACTTGGCCACTGGGTAGTGCCATAGCTGTTGCACTTATGTGCAAAAGGTAGCCACAGAGGCTCGGAAAGGCGGTGGTGGTGCACACCTTCAGTCCCAGCACTCAGGAGGCAGAGACAGAGGCAGGTGGATCTCCATGAGTTCGAGGCCAGCCTGGTCTACAGAGCGAGTGTATGTATGTAATACCATATGAATTAATAAGGAGTAGGGGCAGACTGAAGGGCAGGGTCTTACAGCTAATCAGAGGCAGGGAGCTCTTGGCTCTCAGTGTCCCTTCAGGGCTCTGGTCACTATTCCTATCGAAGACCATAAGACATGGAGGGCAGGGCCTGTCTTGCTTGCATTGTGTTGTAACCTCATTGGCAGCACCTGGCCCGAGGATGCATCTGCATGTCATTGGATAGACGAATGAATGAATAGTAGCAGCTGGACCCCTTGATAATTAGCTCTGCTGTCCGCAGACCTCCTTCTCTGGCCTGCTGTGTGGGTAACTGTCACTTGTGGATCTTGTGATGTTGGTCTCCATGGTAGAACATTCCAGTTCTAACCATCTAAGATTCCAGACCCAAATCAGCCCTAAGCACTCTGGGTGGCTGGGTGGCCTGGAGCCATCCCTGCTGCTGGCTCAGCCTCGGTTTCCTCTGCAGACACATGGGCAAAGCCAGCCCTACCCCGTCTGTTGCTGCCAGCTTGCCTACAGTATGAAAGCTGTTGCAAAGGGTCCCTGGGGGTGGGGCGTGTCTATGACTTCTGGAGGTGAGTGCTTACTGGGCTGAATCCGGGGAGGCACTGACTGCTCTGTGACTCCTTGGGGTGGGACAGAGGCTTAGAACCCTTTTCCCCTGAGTATCAGCAATTGCATTCACCCAGGGCATTGGGACTCTGTGGCAAGGAGGCAGCCATGCTTCTGCTGTATTCTGAGCATTACAAGTGAAGCAACCACAACATATTCCCCCCAGTACTGGAGATTGAGCCCAGGACCTCAATCGTGCCGGACAAGGGATCTACCACTGACCTACAGCCATAGCCACGCCCGTTTTTTATTTTGAGAAAGGGTCTTACTACATAATCTTGGAACTAAGCTTTATAGACCAGGCCAACCTTGAACTCGCAGAGATCCACCTGCCTCTGCCTCCCTAGTGCTGGGATTAAAGGCGCCACCACCACCATGCCACAACTTCTTTTTGTTTTTCATTTTGAAACAGTGTCTCCATAATTTAGTTATCTAGGCTAGCATTAAACTCATTCAGTAGCTCAGGCAGGACTCAAACTTGCAATCCTCCTGCCTCTGCTTCCTGGGCAACTGGACCTGCAGACCTGCGCCACCAGCATCAGCTAATGGCACTATTTTTGGAGTATTTGCTCTGGGTCAGGCGCCAGGAAGTGTTTCTGCTCTACATGGTCCACTTAAATCCTCATAACCGGCCTGCAGATGCTGCTAGCCTGTTTTCTAGAAGAGGGAACTGAGGGGATTGAGAGTGCATGGTAAGAGTGGCGGCCAAGCCCAGGCTGCTGGGGTGTGGAGTCTGGGACCTTTCTCTTGCAGTACTCTCTGAGAGCGGTCCCTGGGCCCAAGCTGCCACCCGTGAGCTTTTCCATTTGCTGTGGAAAAGCTCCCCTTCGGAGGACTGTTTGCTGAGCCAGCTCAGGACTGAGCGTGACTATGT